ACATTTATTGGGTCACAGGTAGAGTATCTCACCCTAATGCAACAGAGAAAGAAAAGGAGAGAAAGAAACACAAAATAACAACACAAAATATAGTTATAAAAGAAAATAAAACAATCAGTACAACAAACCAGAGTGGATCAAAAGTCTAAAAAATGACATTTATTAGGACACAGGTAGAGTATTTCACCCTTATGCAACAGAGAAAGAAAAGGAGAGAAAGAAACACAAAATAACAACACAAAATATAGTTATTAAAGAAAATAAAACAATCAGTACAACAAACCAGAGGGGATCAAGAGTATAAAATATAACATTTATTAGATCACAGGTAGAATATTTCACCCTAATGCAACAGAGAAAGAAAAGGAGAGTCTGTGGACACAGCCAGAGACTTCAACACAAAAATATAGTTCTAAAATAAAATAAAACAACAAGTAATTTACATAGATCATTTGATAGCATGCTATGCTAACGTGAGTATTTATAGCCAAATCCTAACAGACATTTCTCTAAGTATTCCCGAAGTTTATTTTCATTTAAAGGCTCTCAAATGGGCTCTAAATCCTCCCAGTCTCAGTTAAAATCAGCCTAATCAAACATCTGGTTTGAGTTTTTGTCCATCCATCCATTAAAACAGTGTTTTTCAACCTTTTTTGACCCAAGGTACTGTTTTTCATTGAAAAAATCACGAGGCACACCAACCAAAAATGTCAAACAAATCTGTAGCCGCCTACAGTAACACTATAGTTATTCTTTTCTTATCTTAAGTGTCTTGAATAGGAATCAAATAAACACAAAAATGTATTTTTATCATATTTTATATTTCTTCTTTCAAATTGCTCTTAACATGTCCACTTCAATATACAAAATTATATACAAAATCTAGTCATAAGGAATTATTACATGATTACGCCACCAGTCACTAGAACAGCACAGACACTCAAAAATTATTTGCAGATAAATAATTCCTTATCGAAAAATCTTTTTAGACCAATTAGGTGAAATAGGATGATTTTCTACGGCACACCTGACCATCACTCACTACACACTAGTGTACCGAGGTATAGTGGTTGAAAAACACTGCATTAAAACGTCTTTTCTGGCGTGTTTTTGTGTGTGTGTTAGCGGTGGAGTGGACGCTCCCGGCCGCCCGGCTGTGGCCCCCGGCCGTGCTGCCCTTCTGCTTCAGCCTGGGCACGATGGGGGGGGCGCCCCTGGCCTGGGCCAGCCGCTCCTGGGTGGGCCTGCACCTGGCCCTGGCCCTGCCCCAGCTGCTGTGCCTGCCCCTCTACCTGTAAGCCCCGCCCCCTAACCTAACCTAAGCCCCGCCCCCTAACCCCGCCCCCTAACCTAACCTAACCCCCGCCCCCTAACCTAACCTAACCTAACCCCCGCCCCCTAACCTAACCTAACCCCCGCC